ATAAGCCGAAATTTCCATGTTATGTTTATATGATAAATATATCTCGATTTACAAACATTGGTTTGTTAATATTAATGCTAATATGAAAGTTCTGACTTGTATAATAAAACCTTACATAATCTGTGTGTGTGTGCACGCGCTGACGTCGTATACTCGATAAAGCATTAAAAAGGAAACTCAGTCATGATTCAGTTCGTCCGGCGTGCCAAACACAGATGTCTGTCGCAGAGATTACAGTCGGACTATAAGAGTCAGTGAATGGACACTGAGACACACGGCCAGAACACATGCCGACCGTCAGTACTGTATACACTGTAGAATAGTGTACATTAAGGGGGATTAGTTCGGGGATGAGAAAAAGACAGAATGATGACGATAATAATAATATATATACTTTGTTTTTGTTTTGAGTACGATGGGGAATATGTGTGTGTGTGTGAGGGGAGGCATCTTACCATGGGAGTACTGGTTAGAGACCGTTTAACCTGAAGAGTGAATTCAGTTCACACTGGGTGCCCCGCACTTGTGGTCATGCACCAGATGAGTTAAGCTGAGAGAGCGAGATCTTAAACACCACGTGAATGAGATCAATTAATATGCATTCCTCTGCACACCAAAAGCATCCAAATGTTTCCACAAACACCCAACGGTAAATGATTCGAATGCTTATTTTTTTTTCTCTCCTATTCATGTAGCAGCTGTCGAAGAAATACTTGGCTACTTCTTCTCCTTTTACGTATTCCCAATTTTGCTTGGCAAAAAATCTAAATTATAAGTCTATAAGCAAATAAATTATGGAAAGCGAGAAGGCGCTTAAACAACAACAAAAAAAAGTCCATGAAAGTAAATAAATATAAAAATAAATAAATAAAAACGCTATTTAAATTCAGAACTATTTGAAAGCATAAAGAAAGAATTCCGTAGAAACAAAAACAAGATAAAACAACTGTTTGCCTCAATGTTAATAAATGTTAATAAATATAACCTCAGACGGTAAATACGAGAGAAGTACTGAAAATTTCTCAGCCTCTCCTCACTCCAAAAAAAGTCAGATGTTTAGTTCATTTAATCAGATTTTAGGAAATGGGTCGGAACGGAAATCTTTCACCAACCCTTCGTATTTATGTATTTACTGGTGGCAGTAGCGTGCAGAAGAGGGGGCTGAGTGTGTGACGGCCTCGGGCATCCATATTGGAAGGACATCCAATCAGAGAGTGAAATAAGATTTTAGTTTATATTTAATTGGAATAAAACATTTCATATTTAATCTGTTTTTACATATTTAAAATGTCTTTTCTCACATTTCTGAGTAATAGGGCCTATACCCCACCCTCTAATTGAGTCTTAGGAACATACAATCAAGGAGTTGGCACCGGGCCTCACCAAACCTCTGCACGTCTCTGTCTGATGGTATTAGGAACTTCACAACGACGCTGAAGTATTAAACTTTGTTTTTGTATGAAGTCAGCATTTTCCTTAGTGACTAGAAAATAGCAAAAATAAAAGAACTAACTATGAAGCAATACCTGAAATTTACAAAGGTGTGCTGATCAGGCCAGCGCTTTCTACGGGCAAATATAAGTTGCTAGAAGTCGGACTCTGGATATTTTCATCTTGGATAAAAGTTTTACTAGCATGCTAGAATAACTATTCGAATTAAAAAAAAAAAAAAAAAAATTAAATTAGAAATTTTTCTCACTGTATTTAGTTGGCGGTAAATTTTAGTATTTGTCATAATACAGGATTTTGAAATGGATTATTGCAGGCAGTACCATTCCTTATAGAATGTAGCGGTGTACCAAAATGTAACACTTATTCAATGTTTAATCCGCATTTTTTCGCCTCTGTCGAGTTATTCTTTCACCTCTTCTTACTTCCTAGTCTCTCCTCTACCTAACGTTTCACTGTCTTTTATTATGTTTTCTACTTTTCTCCTCTCCACATTTATTCTCCTCCTATCAATTCTTTCTTTCACTCAGATTTACCATTCTCCGTTCTTATCAATTCCCAGCTGCCCACAGATTTTTCTTTACTCTAACTCTTCTTCATTTTATTCCTCTTCTAATTTACGCTCGTCTTTTCTATTCTCGATTTCTGCTGTTTTCTCTCTGCTACACTTTTCTCCATTCTGTTTTTTCTTTTTTTTTTTTGCTTTTCTCTCCCACCCCGACTCTACACATCCCAGACTAAACTTAACTACAGCCAACAATGCATTTTGTAGAATCTATTGCCAAACTGAATGGAATGCTGTTCTTGGTGTCCATTATTTTATCTGACTACGACTACCATCGGTAATAGGTGGGTTTCTTTCCGCCATTTTTCTTTTATATTTTTCATCTCTCAGCAACAATAACTGCAAGAAGTATGAATAAAATAAGCCTAATCGACAATTTCTTTTTCTCTACATTCAGTGCTTTTTACATCTGAATTGTACACACGCCCGAACACAAACACGCACATAAATATACAGGGTGATTGAAAAAGTAACTCCCTATTTTATGTCTGATGGACTCTCTCGTCTAACTATAATTTTTACAACACAGGAGAGTCCATCATACATAAAATAGGGAGTTACTTTTCAATTACCTTGTACATTAGCATTTACACATATAAAAGGTATGTATACAGTAACATGCAAATAAAACATACAAAGGGGCACTTAGAGGTGGTGTAATGGTTAGAAAGCTTGTCTCAAAAGAAAAATTATGGGTGGGTACGATCCTCCCTGGGTGCCTCATAATTTCGGCCTTGTTCCACGTCTAAGCTCCTCTTGAAAAATCCCTATAAAGCATACAAAGATATACATAATCGTGTAGGCGCATAAGAAGTGATCGTAAGGTGGATGGTGCGGGGTTATCTTATGACAACGTCTATATGGGTTTAGGATCTTTTCTGTTAATTCGCCCCAAATAATGTAAAGTTACTTATCGCAAATATTAATTCACCCCAAGAAATTATAATTTCTTTTAAAAAATTAAAAAAAAATTAAATATTGGGGTTGGAGTTAACTACCAAACCAATGGGGCATATATCGTGAAACAAAAGAATTTTTCATGTACTGTGTGCCAGTTAGAACAGCCTCCACATTATTGGACATAATCCGAAGCTGTATTTTAACTGGGACTACGATTATGTCGGATTGTTGCCCGTCCTGAGTATGACAATAAACTACATCCGTGTCCTGGGTAAGACGATAAACTACATCCGACAGCAAGGCCACTGATCAGGAGGTTTTGAGGAGCGTGGAACAACCTTTTAATTGCTGGTATTACCATGTCCACCCTGACCTGGAGTCATAGCACCTGTTAGGGTCCCAGCTATGGGCAAATAGTTAACCCCTAAACTAGGGTCAAAACACTATGAAAGTGTAAAAACAGGTTTTAATATCAGAAATAATTTTTTGTAAAAATGATCATCAGAAATACATTATTACTAGCAATACATTTTTGAAAAAAAAAATTACCAGCAATAAAAGAAAATGTCGGCATTAAATAATGTATTGAGGTTGATATACCGTAAAACAAGACAAACCAAACCATCGGATTGTTGGAAAGGATATGCATCTTTGAAGGATAATCCCAGTTATATTCATCTTTTTTTATATTCATCAATGATAGACTTATTTGTGTAAATTCCTTGGGAGACGTAAGGCAAAAAATAACAATGAATGCATTTATGAACAAATTTTAAAGGACATTACTGAATTTTGATGTTAATTTTAGTAAATACAATTTCTTTTATTTTAAGGTGAATTAATATTTTGGGGGCAATTAAAAGAAAAGATCCTGGGTTTTGTGTAAGGATTGAAACAAAATTCACAGAATGTTAATAATAAAACTAATTATATATATATATATATATATATATATATATATATATATATGGTCAACGTTGCCGCGTGCTTACAACGTTCGCTTACTGAACATTAGACCTGGATTTGAATCTCACTCTTAAGATCTCAATCTTAAAGCATCTCACCAGGAAGATGACTTCCTGGAGGAGGCGATCACAGCGTGCAGTGCCTTTGGAAAGTGCCTTGACCAAGTCTTTTGAGTGAAATTATGTAGACGGAACGATTGTTGTGCTAGCGTTAAGTCATCGTGATCGAGGGTTTGAGCGTGCTGGCCTTGTTCAGAGTGTTGATCACGCTATCTCTCTCTCTCTCTCTCTCTCTCTCTCTCTCTCAAGTCTCCTCAGCATAGTTGCAGTATAAACCACTGGACAAAAATGTACCTGAGCGAGCGTCTGCAACGAGGATTGACTAGGCACTCTAGTAGACGCGCATCCTTGGATACGACAGGCCAGCCATTATGTATTTTTTCAATTTTAGCTTTTCCGTAAATTCCTTTCTAGAATTTTTTTGTGAATCTAGAGTTTGTTTCAAGTATTTTTTTACTAAGTAAAAATAATTTTTTAAATTAAAAAAAAAAACAGTGACCGACCACAACTAAAAATTTCATGCGTTTCCACACAGGTAATTGGCAACTGTAATTTGTGAAAATGGGAATTTTATACTTTCTTGGCGAATTCAAGATGCTACAACAAGAATAGTTGATGTTTACAGAGTAAACCCCCACGAGGGTGGGAGAGTAGATGTCCATACGGCCAAGATGGAAATACCGAAAAATCACCATTACCTAAGGGAACAAAAACAACAACACCAGAAAAAAAAAGTTTGAGAAAAGAAAAAAAGAGCATGTAAAAGATGAAAGTTTGAGGGTAAGAAAGCTATAGAAAAACAAAGAAAAACGAATGAAAAGAGAAGGGAGGGTGATGAAAACGAAAGAAAAAATAGACTCGTTTAACAACCCTTTGCATGTTATTTAAAGCCAGAAAATATTTTTTTCATTGTAAGAATGTTTTTTGAGAGAATAATTTAGTGATACAAGTCTTATTAATTATTCGATAGCCGTGGGGGGGGGGAGAAGAAATGGGTTTATACTTTTCCCAAGAGTATTTCTCTCCGAACCATTATCCATTACACCACCGGCACATCCAAGCTTACAGCACCTGGTATTCCCACGTCGTTACGCATCTACGTGCTGACCAGACTCGACGTTGCTTAACTTTGATGATCGTACGGGAACCGGTGTTTCAACGTGATGTGGCCGTAAGCGTGTTTCCATATAAATATTTCATTGTAAATGATTGACCACAGACGAGGAAGAAAAAAGTTATTTAATGCCAGAAATTATAAAAGTTTTATACAAATTAACTAATTGTTTTCTCCGCGTTCTTAGTTGTTTGGACTTGAAATTTCAAGTTTGAAGCTTTAAAATGAATTCGTAATTAAAGAGAGATTCATAATCAGATATTCCTTAAACAAGATATTCTTCAAAAGACGGTCTATAAGTTGATGCCTTTTATTTTTTTTTAATTTCTTAATTATTTTTTTTCTATTTCAGTAATTTCGTCCACTTGAGAACAAGATGACTTCGCATTACGATAATATATTACCAACAGATTTCGAATTCCAACCAGAGCCACAGCCCGGATGGGAACTGGTGAAAAAACTTTTTAGCCGAACAGGGTACCACTTATGTATCGGGGAAGGAGGAGACGTCTACAGCACGAACAGCGAAACAGACAAATATGGTAGATACAAACGATGTTTCCATCATTTTTGATTTTCGCTTAAAATGCATAAATCTTATAACTTATAAAAAATAAAGGTATTTTATTATTAGATGCACAGATGCGTAGGACATGCAGGGTTGCACTGAATTATAAGATTAAAATAAAGGATAAAAAACTGATAAAGATTAGCTGCCGTAATGTAATCGGCAAGGTATTTACCACAGAAATTTCGTGATTAAAGGAAGCTTTGTGATATAATAACCACGACGAAAATCAAGGTCTGACCTAAAAATAACCCATTCATCATTTAAAAACACCTGTCAGGAAGTGGTAATGTGGGTGTTGTGTTCTAAACGTGGAAATCAGTCAGATATATAAATATGGGCCCATGTACAGAAGAATAGAGAAATATTTTTACGAGTTTTTCGTATTCATCTGCTTTATAATTGTCTAAAGAGGTTTTCTATCAAGTCTACAAATGAGAACCAGGCATTTTTTTTTGCGTTCATTCATGACATTCTTATTTATGGACAGTCGAAAATTCTTGCCTTGGTTTAAATAGGAACTTATTAAATAATTTAAAAAATTAAACTAGAAACACGGATGTGTAGATACATCGAATTAAATAAACTATTAAATCACGATGACAAAATTACTAAATCATAAGCCAATTCAAAATTATGTTAATGGCTAAAATTAATTAACTGACTGATCGAATTGATTGATTGACACTGGAAACAATTTACTTTTGTATATTTTAATTGTCCCTTTAGAATATTCTAAAGAAAACAGGAACGCTCGAAAAAATTCCAGAGTTCTATGATATTTTTAGCTTAATTTAAAATGGATTAAAATGAGAAAATTAAAAATATTTTAGGGTGTTACATATAAAAGTATACATAATACAACACTACCATAACAATAGGTACAAATACCAAGATAAAAACCTAGTTGCATAATGTGCAACTGCAAAAAGATAGCTGAAGAGGGAAGAAATGGATTTCATGTTTTTCCCAAGGCTAATAGCGTCTAAGTGACGAACCCGACTGGAATTCGGCTCTCCGATTAACAATTCCGAGCCATTATCCATTACATCACCCGCACGTCCAAGCTTGGTGACCGCTTGGGAATTATTCCTAAGCGGTCACCCATCTACGTACTGACCAGGCTCGACGTTACTTAACTCCGTTAATCCTACGGGATTCAGTGTTTTAACGTGATGTGACCGTAAACCACCGAAAATATATTATTATTACAACAATAACAATATTGGACAATTAACTGAAAAAATTATATTAATTACATTGTTTGTCATTCAGGTTTTTCTTTTTTGAATCTAAAAACAATAAGAGTTTACAAAACCAAAGACCAACCCTATTGAGATATGGCCAGAAATTAAACGAACGGTTATAGCTCGAGATAATATTAGAAATCAAAACAATTTGCTACTAACAGTATTGTTGTATATAAACAGTCTACAGGGTGATTGAAAAGTAACTCCCTATTTTATATATGATGGACTCACCTGTCTTGTAAAAATTATAGTTAGACGGGAGAGTCCATCATACATAAAATATGGAGTTCCTTTTCAATCACCCTGGATATGTTTAGATTTGATCTCCGCTCTTGTAGCCTAAACGATAGAGCAGTTGTGGCGCATAAAAAAGTTTTATCGTGATAAAAAATGATGCGTGTTCGATTCTCATCAACAGCTTATTCTTTATTCCCTAATGACCGTAGAATGACGGTTCGAGTAGTTGTAGTGAAAAGCAACTGAAATTAAGATGACAGATATACTAGTAAAAACAAAACAAACGACTAATGATTCCTTACTTGGATGTGCAAATTTCAGCGCTGAAGGTGAAATCAGCGTGCAGATTTCAAATACTGGGCATGTATGTTTCGTTCATTTCGCACTCACGCCATTAGAAAAAGCATGACTCCACTTTCTTTCAGTTATGTGCTAAATAGCAGAACAGATTCAGTTATATTGTCTGTCTCTAAGGAAAACTCATAAGTAACAGAGCAAACTGGTTTCTTTAGACTTCGTATGATATCTCTGAATTCAAAACTATCCTGAAGAGAGATGGACTATGTCAGGTTATTTTACTCTGGACACAAACATGATTGCTACGGTTGCAGTAAATAAGCTGTCCCAACGGCCCTCAACAAGTTATGGGACACATGATCATGATTCATTACTTGACTCAAATCACAAGCAATGTTAATTAAAAAACAAAAGGTTTGAAGAGAATATAGTTTTCCCTATTACCATTTAATTTGTCAGCATTCGTCGACTGGGTGAATTTCTAAAATGGCATTCTCCCTGTAGAAGAGCACCATGAAAAGTTTAAGATGAGATAGACTTGTACAGAAATTAAGATAAATTGTAATAAAGTGCTATAGCATAGAATTAATATAGAATAAAATTGCGAATAGAATAGTATATATATATATATATATATATATAGCTCTATCAGTGATATTGAGCGCTTTCCAATAAGTACATATTGGAAAACGCTTAATATCAGTGATAGAGCTAAATATATATATATACACATTTCACACACACACATATTGATATATATATGCACATATATATATATTCCGACGTTATTATAGTGGACACTTCTTATTTGAAATAGACGCCATATTTCTATGGAATACAGTGAATATTCCGTCTATCGGCCTTCACATTCGAAAAATCTTGGTAAAGAAAATGTGTTCGCCATGGATCGAACCAGCTTCTTTTTTGTAGGGACAACCACTATGATCCACCGTGCGTTACCGCTAGGCCACGAAGAACGTTACTATAGGCAAAACTCTATTTTCCAATTTTAAGGAAATCACATCCTGCTCTTCACCCGGATTACACACACACACACACATATATATATATATATATATATATATATATATATATATATATATATATATATATATAACCGGGAGAGCGGCGATGGGCTCCGCTGGGTTAAACGCCCATGACACGCCATATGAAGCCATTCGCATAGAGCTGGGTGTTAACCTCAATGTTCACTTATATATATATATATATATATATAATTGAAAATCAGGGAAAAGGGATTGCTAATGGTTAGGAAGTAATACAAGTTTTACCAACGGAATATGGTTGCTATAATACAATATAAATTGCACTTTGAAGAAGAAAAATGCAATTAAATCAGAAGATCTACGAATATTATTGTTGGGTATGTGTTACCGGCGTCTCTGTAATGTGGACTGAAGTACTTTTAGTATTTGGTGAACATCCGTCACTTGATATTAACCAGTTAAATCCAAGTTCTTCAAGTGGTTTTGCTATGTCTTCATTCAACAAAATAAATACATATAGGTTTACGCTTTAGTGGCAACAAATCCGGTTTTATTGTGAGATCGCTATGTTTATTTTTACAAGCTATGATTTAAAATGGCGTTTCGTTTTTTCAAAGAACAGAACAATTCAAATTACAAAATATTAAAAAGTACACTAAACGACAATAGTAATGTCGCTTCTGGATGTAAAGTCAGGCCTGTCGATGGGTTGAGCTGACAGATCACCTCCTGTCCACCAAGTGCAGATCAGCACTTCACGTGATATCAGTGGCTGCTCTGACATGTGAACATATGATGGAAACGTGTGGTAAAGAACTGTGTGACAAAAATGGACATATAAACAACGGAACATTTTCAATCAATGCGAGAGCTATAACTACAACTGGAATTATTGATGTTCTCATGTGCCACGCTGATGCTGATCGTCTGTATGTATCCAGATCCGAAGGAGACAGAGGATTAGTTCAACTAGAACTGTCTTACAAAATCACAACAGTCGGTCTTCAGATATACATGGAAACGACAGAAGACTGTTTGATGATGATGATGTGTGTGTGACAAAGAACATGAAAGAAATAAGAAACTTTATTCAGTAATAAAGGAAGCCAACAAATTCAAAAGGGAATTTCAAATGGGTGAAGAAATGCAAATAAATCGTAATTCACCTACTGCAGCGGCAAAAAAACCTAACAAAAAATGCAAAAGCAAATGCAATGTACCAAATGCAGAAACGATAGCAAGATAAGCCTCTTCATGGTTAATACTCTGCTTGTAGCAAAAAAAGCTGATGTAGACAAACCCTGTACCCATCAATGGTTACATCGTGCAAAGTTAGAAGCTGAAACCGAAGCTTTTATTCTTGCTGCAAGGCACACATAATGAAAATGTGTGTTAACCTGAAATGCATATTCCGTGATAAATATCCCGAAACAATCTTGTATCAGGTTGAACAGTGTTAACACCAACTGAATATAAAGCTCAGCATGATAGAGAGGGCCAATATCTTCTCTGTAAAATATGCAACTTTTACGGAAAGGAAACTGCAAGAAACTGATATGATCACACAGACCCGGTTACAGAGATAGGACCTGTAATAATTTTATGGGACTTTACAATACACACAGACAGAACAATCATAGCTAATCGCTCAGATATCGTTGATCAAAGACCACCAAAACTGAAAGTGCTGTCTTATTGATATGGTAGTCCATGTAAATTGTAATGTATACTTGAAAATCTTCAAAAATCTATCAAAATACAAGGATCTTGATGTGGAAATCTCAAAAATGTGGCACGTGAGGTCATCAATAATTTCACTTGTCGTTGGATTATTATTTTTATTGTTATAACTATAAAATAATGATTATAATTACCTGCCTAAGTTATTTAAAACAAAGTGGCGGTAAAAATAAACCTGCCGTAAGATAAGTTAGACTATGTTTAAAAACTGACTATGTTTAGATTTGGTTAGACTATGTTTAAAAACTGACTATCTTTGGGCTCGAAAGAATAGTGAGAATATTGAACATTTCTGACCAAGGAATTGCTTGGAAATCAGTTATAGTCTAATAGAATTAAAGTTGCGTTGGTCAGGCTTTAAACAAAGAAAATACTGAAACATACAAATTTGCTTTTTTCTGTTTTTTTTTTTCACTGTCTAGGTTTGGTCCTTGTTATGAAATTTTTATTGGTGTTCATTCACAGTTTCTAGAATTATTACAAACAATTCTATCTCTGTGAAAGGATTACATGGAATTTTATTGTGATTTTAGCGAGGCCTTACTATACAACACATGATGATAACAATTAATATTATATCGAAGAAACACCGAGAGCTCATGTAGATGTGAACTTAATTATCGGCAAGTGTTCTATAGGAGGAACCCAATCGATTTCCTGTGACTGATAGAAGCACACAATCTTGAAACTACTAATATATTAGAATGCCACGCCCCTTCAGAATGCAGGCAATCATGACTGTCTGCTGATCTTTATTATCTGTGAATTGCTGTGCAATCTTTGGAAAGTGAGTGAAATGCTTTCTCTTTGCTTTCTCCATCGTTTTCCTTCTCTTAGACTGATTAGTACCGAAGGCTAAATAACCCACTTTAACCTTCCTATTTAATCCATAGCGAGGAGCGGAAGTGACAGATTAATGCCTTTCTCAAGAGCATTTCTGCGAAAGTAAATACAACAGCCTAGACCGAAATTTGAACTCGGATCACTTTCCGCTACACCCACACATCCACCCCCAAACAAGATACAAAAATTAACTGAGTCAAAGACAGGAATGGCATTAGACATTGAAGAAAATAATCTGACAAGATAAACCTCCATGGCAAATGTTCAGATGAACCCCATTCTCTAGTTGCACCAGTTCAACGATTTATTGCTATGTTCTTTCCACAGAGTCGAAACAGTCTCATTTCCCCCGTATTCTAAATGTAAGAAAAAATCCCACTCGGTCAGCTTTTTCTAAAAACCTGCTACTTTGTGGAACAGATTCTCGCATGGATACTTCCCTGAACACTAAATCTTAACCTGTTCAAGTCAATCATTATCTATCTTTCTTATCCTTATAAGATTCACTTCCTACCACCTCCCCTTTTGTTCATATCACACACCGCATTTATTACAAACATTTTAGCAGTAATCCTTACTGTGAGTGTTTCTTGAGCTTTGTATTGCACAAACTATTGTTAAGAAAAAACAGATACTTTCATCATTGGGGAACATGGATGAATAAAAGTCAGAACAGTAACGCAGAAAATTAATAAACTTCAATATGTAGGGGAAAAAAAACACAACATAGCTGAACTATCTATACATGAAAAAATTAGATAACTGATATTCGCAGAGATACAGAGAAAATGTCAAAGCCGCATGGGAAAAGAGACTAACAAATTGAAACGTTGCACAAAGAACTTACCGAAAATTAGAACAAAAAAAAAGAAAGAATTTCCAGCTACACAATGAAATAAACGCGCGCACACACACGCACACGCGCGCGTGCGCAATAGGATCAGATTCTGTAAGAGAATAAGTCAATAAAAAGATTAGAATCAGCGAAAATAGACTAACAAGCTACTAACAAAGAGTATTTTGAGACATCCTGTTTTGCAATATAAGCAAAATAGAATGTTTCAGATTAAGGAAAATTTAATGACACTTAATTGGAGAAACCCATTGTTATAAGCGAAATAGCAAAGGGCAGATTAGGCTGTTTCGACTTGGTGGACAACCATTTTAGAAGGCAAATCTGAAATCAAAACCGTGGAAAAGGCAACGATGAAGGGACAGGGAAGGAATAATAATAATAATAATTGGTAGTGGATATTCGTATTTGAGTAGACGCCCTGTTTATTTATTAAACAGTATATTATTTCTTTTCGTCTACTAGACTGAGTATTTGAGAAATATTTGAGAAAATTATCCGCATATTTTTTTTCTCTGTAATAAGATTTCTCGAATATTCAGGCTGGTAGACGAAAATAAATAAATATCAGCCAGTCAGTTATATGCTATACGTGATACACGCATAGGCGATCACGTATCTTTCGATACATGACTGACGAGGCAGATTTTTCTCCCCGCACTAGGTTGCCATTTCTTTCTGCGTTAAACCAGTTGCCAGCCATATCTGTCTTGCTATTTACCTATTGCTGGAGGGGGGGGGAGAAGAAAAGGATTCATACCTTTTCCGAAGGGTATTAGCACATAAATGAATGTAATGCATTCGACTGCAATTCGAACTCAGCTCTCCGATTCCTTAAATATACTGTTTTATAAATAAACGGAGAGTCTACTCAAATATATGTATCCACAAAAATAGCGTTTAAGTAGTAAAATCTGTCGGAAGAAAAAAATGAAATGAAAAAAATATCCCTTTATATATATATATATATATATATATATATATATATATATATACACACACACACATATATATATATATATATACACACACACACACTCATATATATATATATATATATATATATATATATATATTGTGTGTGAGTAAGTTCGAAATCAGTTTGTTTATACGTGATTCATATTGCAAATTGTTATCAAAAATATTTCAGACAATAGCAACATTGTGATTTTTTCCTCATCTTTTTCTTAGCAAATCTCGAGCTGAGACCAATTGAAACGGGAATTGTGTGCATCAGAGGAGTGAAAAGCGGTCTTTATCTTGGTTTCGATGAGAAAGGAAGACTTATAGGCATGGTGAGTTAATAATTGTGATTCTCGCTCCCTCCCTCTTTCTATCTCCGTCTCTCTCTATCAGACATACACAAACACATATGTACACACCTCTCGGTATCCACAAAACGTAAAAACAAAATATACTTAAACAGGATCAAATATTTCGCGCATATTTCAATAAAAATGGCAGAATGATGAAAAATAATTGGGGAGAGAGTCCGGAATGCTATTGGTAACGGTAAAAATAACCGTTTACATACAAGAAACATTCAGCATTCATTGACCAAATTGTTAGTCTTACTGTTGGTTGGACTTTATAAAATATATTTGTTAAAAAGTTCTTTCAGAAATGTAAACTTCTCAAGTCCACTAAATGTTATATATCTTTCTAACATTAATATTATTAACCGTTCTGATAAGAATTGTGCCAAAGAGATTTCTTCTTAGCTGACATCGAAAGTACCAGTTTTTTCTTGGTTCAGACCGGCCTGTTCAGCTGTTCCGCCCACCGTAATCACTGTTCCTATCTGTACCAGCGTGATAATTCCGTAATTGTATCTGCTCGTAATAATTGAAAACGTAACATCAAAGAAGCTACGTCTTTGTTTGCTGAGAGAATAATAACTACTGGTGATTCTGTAACACTATGTTAAATAAAAATAAGTCTTCTTTCCCTTTTCTCTTCACTCAATTTAAGGTGTTAACATCTTCAGCTGATATAGTAGAATGTTTTGCTCGTAAATTCTCTTCAAATTCTACTTTTAACTCGTCTGGAGTATCTCTGTTCGATTTGCCACTTAGTCTTCAGTGATATTCATATAACACTGTCCATGGTGTCTACTGTCATTTCTAAAATGGATTCCCACAAAGCATGATGGTATCTGTGCAATGTCTCTTAAGAAATGTGCCTCTGAACTGTCTCCTGTTTTCTCAAAACTCTGCAAAAAATGCCTTGCTGCTTTTTACTTGTTGCAAACCCTCTTCTGTAATTCCTGTCTTTAAGAACTCAGGCGAACCGCTTGGTACTTATAACTAATTGTCTGTTAGCCTTCTATATCTTTTTAGCATGTACTAGAGGCTCTAATCAACTATGAATTGGTTAAGCATTCTTTCAGATAAACAATATAACTTTCGTTTCTTTAGATCAACTGCTGATGTATTACAATTATTGCTGAAACAGTCCATGGGGCTTTAGATAAAAACGGTGTAGTTCGGGCTCTGGTTTTAGATATCTGGAAAGCATTTGACAGAGTTTGGCATGGTGGTGTTCTTTGCAAGTTGAAAGGTTATGATATTTTTAGACGACTTTTGAACTGATTCAATCAAATCGCGAAATGAAAGTTATCTTGAACGGGCACTCTTCTAGATTTTTTTTTTTTTTTACATTAATGCAGGTATTCCCCACCCCAGGGACTCTATCCTTGAGTCGACGTTGTTCTTAATTTTCATCAACGACCTTCCTGTTCTCAACTCGTGATCTCTTTATTCATATCTTAATGGTAAGTTTGATCGGTTTGATATAGTCAAATTGGTAGCTGATTTAAAATGACCTACATTCTGTTGGAATGGCTTGCTAATTTTAATACCTCCAAAATAAAACTGCTCTCCATTAATCGTCTTAGGGAATATTTTTGATTTCTATTATCATGGCTGATGCTAACCTTCAGTAGAATGACTCAGTGCACCTTCTCGAGATAACGTTTTTCCGCTGACATGAAGTGGAAAGATTGCTAAGTTTGCTTCTCTGTGTCCAGTTAAACAATTTTTCTCGATATAATCTATCTTACATATTCTTCTGTTATGTTTTTAGAGTTTCTTGATAAAATCAAAGAATCTGCAATGTTATTGATCCTGGCCTGGCATCTCGGCTGCAGTCACTTTCTCACCGCCGTAACGCTTCTCTGTGCCTTTTAAAAATAAATACTGTCAAGGTAATTGCTCTGATGAATTTTCCTTTAGGATACCAAGACTTTATGAATTTAAGCGCAGAACTAGATTGGCGTCAAGGTCTCATCATTTTACAGTTGAATTGGCTGCTAGATGTAACTGTAAATTCTATGCTGTTACTTCTGGCACTTCTCGCTTGTGGGACTCTCTTCCGACTTCTTGATTTCCAGTCAACTTTGCTTTTAAATACAATGTCAATCGTTATCTTCTTTTTAATTGCTGTTCTTTTATTGTTCTCTCCTCTTAAAAGTACTTTTTTCTCGTATTCTCTCAAACCTCAGTAACCCCTCGCGTCTTAATGGCTTTATTGCCTTGATTGGGGTGAAACAATTAAAATTTTGTTTTCTGGTTGTGTGAAAAGCTAACCGTTTGATTAGCTTATTATTTTATTTTCTATCTTTGTTGTTGATGTTCTTCAAAATGTTCAAGTGATGTGGTTTTTATTATTTGGTAAATTTCTTTATTTGTGATTCTGTAGCGCCAGGTTTTATGAAATATTGTTTTCTATAAGAAGGATTTGCAGAAGGATTAATTCACGTGAAACCATTTTAAAATATTGATGTGAGAAAAACGATTGTATATAGATAATATTTAGTTTAGGCATATTTGAATGAGTCGTGCGCCATACTTGACACGATTAAAGAGGAAGTCAATATATGAAGATTGTATTTCCTTAACACGCTGATTTATCAAGCCAAATACATTAACAATCCTTTTCACTTCTTTCTATAATTACCTGACATCTTCACATTAATGGATGATTTTTTTTTCTTACTATAAACGTTATTTTTAGGGGGTACACATATTTGTGTTGCTATCTGATTTTTTTCTTAATCGAAATGGTTAATCTGGTGAAGTCATCCGTCAACACAGCTTCTGTAACCGAATTGGTAAAAGCACGTTTCGGCTATAGAAACAGTTTCACTGATAGAAAAGGGGATACAGGTTCGATTCTTGTTGGAGGTACAATCACAATGATTCCCAACCGCTGAGTGCCGCGCGATTCTCTTAAGTGGGCCGCGAAATATTGTCACGTCATACTGATATGTCCCGGAAAGGGATATATTTGAACGAAGTAGCTAAGTGATTTTGTCTACTATAACCAAGTAGAATACGGTAGCAGTAATCGACTGGTATGCGTCGTAGTCGCAGGTAAGAAGTGTAGATCAATGGCGTAGTCCAATGGGCGTCGTTATAGACTTAGCTCACAGACTAAGGCTATTTTGACTCTGTCGTACCTACACGCCCGTCGGTATTTATGACAGACACCAGCCAATCATATTCCATTGAGGGGGAACACAGGTGTACACATATTCCATTATATCACATATATATATATGTATGCGTGGACGTAGTAATGGTACAGCGTTAGTATTTGAATAAATGAATAAGTATTAAACTTTTTCAAATCATTCTTTTCCCTATTCTTCGATTATGTTATTTTAAATACTTTGTTTTAATATTCATTTTTTAAAAGTATTTTTATTTTTTAATTTAACTTTAACAAATTTTCTTTTATTTGAATAAATGAATATTAACCTTTTTTCATATGACTATATTCAAAATTCTTTGTTTAGTTCAAAATTTTTACAAAGTTATATTGAATTATGAAGTGGTATCGTCGAAGTTTTCGATATGCAGCATATTTTAAAGGTTTATTGCTATAAAATTTGTAGTGAAATTGTAGTTATTTTTTTCGTAGTAATATTTTATTGCTCTTTCGCGCACCCGTAATTTGAAATGATGCTAAGTATACCGTGATATTTTCATTTACTCTTAGGTGTGCCATTGCTTAAAAAGGTGCTTTAAAACACTGCTTTAGTAGGACTCTTCAACGGCTGATGGTTAATAATTTCATTGTTTAACGAAAAAAAAGAAAAAAAAGAGGAAAACAACAACAACAAAAACAGGGATAGCAACTCAAATACGTCTGTCTATATTTCTGAGATGAGGCATTATATACATTATTTACATTATTCGGACTATTGTCCTCATCTTTGTCGCCATAGATGCGGAAAGGAATATAAAGGATAGACAGGCCGCCCCCTCAAGATAAGGCTTCAAGAACACCAGAAAGCTGTAACACGATGGGAAGTGGAAAAATCAGGCGTGGCTGACCACATATGGAGAGAGAAGGGAGATCACCGTCCCCTGTGGGATCATGTTGAGATCATAGACAAAGAACACCATTGGAAAATTCGTAAACTTAAGGAATCAGCACATATGCTAGGCCACAAAAATCTCCTGAGCCGACCAAGCATAGAAATGAATACAATATGGGAACCAGTAATAAGGAGTGCCAGAGAAAAGCAATGATAACAACAAAGTTGCAATATGAGCTCTGGTAAAAACATGATATGATAACAGCAAAAATTGCAATATGAGCACTGGTAAAAAATACCCAGAAATTCATACCCAGATGTTCTCAAGGACACATGGCACAGTGGATAAAGGCGTTGGTTAGATCCAGTGACAGGATCCAAAGAGTGCCCGGTTAAGGCAGTGGCGAACTTTCAGAGGGAAATTAACAAGAGATAACTGATAACTGACATCCATTAAACATGGCACGTGGAACTAGAACAGTCTACCCCAGTGAGCGAAATAAAGGGTTCAGTTCGACATTCCAACCACCTGAAGAAGGCCGGCAACGGCCGTTGTAATAAATATGGCGACAAAGATGAGGACAATAGTCCGAATAATCAAATACGCGTATTCAATAAAAATAACGTTTATAGTAATAAGAAATAATGTCGGATAAGAAATCCATTGAAAAATGAATGTATGTATTGAAAAAGAAAGAAACGTCAAGACAAAGTGTAAGCCACGTGAATGAGATCTGAACGCATGTAAATCAGTAGTAAAACAACACTTTAGAACTGAGGATATCATTGAGAGAATATGTGAGCAAAGACGAAGTATTTTTTTTTTTTTTAGAGAAAATGGAAACAAATAGGAAACTTATACTTAATATCAGCTGAAATTTCTAGGGCACATAATTAAGGGAGCAGACTTGGAAAATCTGATACTCACAGGGCAGATTGAAGGCAAGATGGACAGAGGAAAACAGCGCATAGTATACTTAGTGAGCTTGAGTAAATGGATGGCGGAACAAGGTTTAGAAGAAATAACAAAAAGACAAAATATATTATGTACTGCAAAGGACATGAAATTTTGAAGGGCACACGGGACACGGAAGAACTATGACATGGGGGTTAGGATTCAATTTCTCAGTGGAATATCTTGTCATCGACTTAACCAGTTCGATGATTTAGTACTCCTTCGGTATTCCAGAATGGTATGATTCATAAGAAGAAGTAAGCATATATTAAAAAGATAAAATGAGAAATAATCAATTAATAAATAATTAAAATATATCATCATCATCATCATCATCATCATCAGTCCCATGACCATTTGTGGTCGAAGAGACGCTGAACACTTGACTACTTGACTTGTTCACTTCACATATCTGTGTTGAAACCCGGTAAGGTATGCATGCATGCGTAGCGTGTAGCGTGTCTTTAGCAAATAGACCTGACGGAGTCCGTCCATCTTTAGGTCAAACCACAGTCGATGTCCCCCACCCCCGACCAGAAGGCTCACCTTTGTTACAGACACGTGGCCGTTGATTGTATCGGGCGTACACCGTGCCCTGGTTGTAGATTTCAGATTTTGTGTTGGAAAGATTTATCAATGTCTCTATACATTAATGACTAGTTTTGCTTTTTATTTGCAGAAGTTAATGGAGGAGGCTTGTCTATTTCATGAGCGAATGATACCGAGTTACTACAATGTCTATCAGTGCAAGAAATACGAAAAGAAAAAGTGGTACATCGCAATAAGCAAACGTGGTCGAGTGAAAAACGGCAAAAGAACAAAAGCTCGCAAGAAACATTCACATTTTTTACCGAGGAAGGCAACGTGAAAAAAACAAAAGTGTCAAAGAAACAAAACGAACGCAGACATTTGTCTGATAATAAAAAAAAACAAAAACAAACAAAAATGGAAAGAAAAAAAGAGCAAATATTAAAAAAAATGACTAATATATATCTAACAAAACATTTATATATATATATATATATATATATATATATATATATATATATATATATAAAAGAATGTAAGGTTTTTTTATATATACCACACGGGTAAAAAATATAAAAAAGAAGTTGAAAATGCAACTGGAGTATTTAAGAATATTTATTTACAGCAACTTTATCGATTTCACAGTTCTACGGTTTTCAAAAATTTATGTGAGATGTAGAGATGTGTGTCACATAGCCACACGTCTCTCTATCTCAATTTGACTCAGTTGCATTTTCAACTCTTTTTTTTATATATATTTTATATATATATATATATATATATATATATATATATATATATATATCAAGAAATAAAATTATTTGGTCAGCTTATCTGATTCTGCTCGGAATTTCGTGGATATGATAGCATGATAGCTTCCTGACTAGTGGATACCGTATTCTTGAAACTTCGAATGGAGATAGATATGTAGAAGATTTAATTTTATTTTTGCTATTAATGTTCTATCTCTTGATATTGAGTATTTTAATTACAAAGGGTGCTTGCCTTAAAGGCGTTTTTTTTTCAGGATTAGATTGGGAAAATTTTGTATTCTCTTTTCTAGAACACTATATATATATATATATATATATATATATATATATATATATATATATATATAAGTAATACAAGAAAATGGTCACTTAGCTGATTGATGTTACCTACAGCATGTCGACTTTCGTAGACGGACCCTCCTGGAATCACTTCTTCGTCAAGGAGGTCTCAATAATTGACTGCTTCTGTTCGTGTTAGTGTGTATATGTGCGTGTATAAACGTGTATAGGTATCAATGTGATAATTTAGGTGTTAGTTTAATGGAATGTAACATTTTAATGGAAGATAACATTTTTAAAAATGTGTCGGTGAAGAGTGCAAAATATTGGCGATAGAGCATTTATAGATATAGACGGTGTGGACGTAGGGATCATCACTGCATCGTGACTGAAGTCTGAAGATCGCAATAAAGCGTGAAACTGATAGTCACCATGCAGAGTTGATTCCTATAATCTCCCTCTCTTTAAATTCATTATAACTCTATACATACATATATATTCTTACCACACGCACGTACACACGCGCGCGTGCACACACACAAACACACACACAAACAGACAAACAACCAAAATATTCACCCTTGACCAGGAGAAATGCGAAATCATTTGCAAACGTTTAGAACTTAACTAAATTGTTATTAATTTAGAAAATGGCAGCATAGTTGGTATAAGAGAAACATTCAATCATTTTTATTTTTTATTTTAACGACAATGACTTTCTTAAGTCATCACAATGTCAAGGTGCCAAATACTTTTTTTTATTTTGTTTTATCTTTTTTATGTAAAAATAAAGTATTTATTTATATGAGTTCTTTCTAAATTATATATGTTTTTCTTTACCTTTTGTTCTGGGGCATTTTCGTTGCTGTCTTTTGTATGTTTCCAGGAAAAGCTTGTCTAAAAGAAATAAGCGTTCAATTTGTCTTCCTAAATCAAAGCTATTGTGAAATAATTCGTTTTTGTTGTATACAAAGTAATACTTTTTGGCTGAAACTTGCTGGAAAACCAATTGTTTAAGCCAGCAATGCCTTGCTAGAACAAAGCTATTAACTCTACTGGACTGGCATTAAAAAGTATTCGTATATAAATTGTGGTAATCTAATGGTTAGAACGTCTACCTTTGGACTTCAGAACTTGCGGTTGCTTAGATACTTATTGTCTCCTTGCTCAAAAGTGAGACTTTTTTTCGTAAAATTCTTAGATTAAAAAGAGGGGAAAAAACCCTATAGACTTTAAGAAAGGTAAAACTTAGCAATTTCACAAATGGGCGCCAATTTGCCAATATTAACTAAATATAATTAAATATATGAGTCTTTAATATGAGTCTATGCGTATGAGATGAACACCCTCAGTTGTGGTGAAGGAAGTGCATATCAGAAAAGACAAATTCTGATATAAAACCAAATGGAGAGATAGATATCTTTGGCTATCTTAATGGTCATCTATTTAGTTAAAGAATTCTCTGGAATAAAACCAACCACTTTGATCTCATGACAATGCCTTATATTTTAATTGGATTCCACATCGTTCTTTACGCAGATTACCAAAGGATTAGCCCCTTGGTGACACACCAAGCCGATGTCGAAAAATTTGCTACTGCTAAGCAGAGGTCACCTCGTCTCTCATCAACAACTAAAAATCGGCTAAAGAAACTAAAAAAACAAAAAAACACTGTAAAATAAGACAAATCACTGTACAATCAGGATCAGATGATTTCAAAGTGAATTTCATTTTAGAACAAAGATACAGACCTTGATGTTAACTGTATGCAAGAGGTGCGCTGATTTGGTAGTAACTCCAGTTCACATTTGGGATAGATTGATTCACTGATTTATTTTCTATGGCTTATTAACCTTTTGTAGGTTATTTAAAGCCAGAAAATATTTTTAGATTATAAGAATTTTTCTGTGCGATAATAATGATTAATTCATCTCACCGATGTCCAATTCCGTGCCGTTATCCATTACACCTTCCGCACACCCAAGCTTACGGCATCTGGTATCCCCAAGTCGCTAATCATCAAAGTACTGACCAAGCTAGACGTTACTTAAATTTGGTGATCGTACGAGGACCGGTGTTTCAACGTTATATGGCCGTAAGTCTCACCTGTAAAAGAGAACATCTACTGGACTGACGTAATAGAGAAAAGACAGGTGATTGAAATTGCAATAAAACAAATCATCTTAGATTGTAACTTAAGGCTATAACTTAAAACCAGTCAGAAATCATGATGATTTCTGACTGGTTTTATACAAACGGTTAACGAAATTCTGTATAAAAAAAAAAACCTACCTAAAACAAAAAACAAAACCAAGGAAAAAAGAAATAAAAGAAAAAAACAAGTACTCCCCACCGAAACCTCAAACAGTAATAGGGAACTCATGTTAAATTTTTGTTATTCCAAAAAATATTCCATGCTAAACACATAATTTAAAACGTCATGTTACATGGCGTAGCCCGGATAAAGTAACAAGATTATTGATTTCTGCATCTCGAACCCTTGGCAATTTGTAACAGATCTTAGAACATATAATTCATACTTTGAATCCGATTACAGTCTTGTAACGAAACTCATATGACTAGTTAATAATATAACCCGCTTCCACTCACATATACCACAAATATTCCCTATAGTATAATGTCCAAGCCCTTAAAAATGAAAATGTAAGAGTAGGATTTTGTGATAAACTAGAATCCAAACTGCTGTCTCTAAATCTTGATCCAAATAAATAAAAAAAAAGAAATAAATATTATAATCGTATCTTTTTTAGGTGAAGCTCGTGGGATCATTCGGAAAGAGTATCTACAGGGGAAAAGATCCTCGCATGGGACGACAATCCTAAATTGATAAGATTGATAGAAGAATAAAGAAACAAACAGAATAGAAAAATGGAAGGGACAACAATAAATAATTAACAAAGAAAAAAATAAAAATAAAAGACTTAGAACCCAATATCTTCGGGAAATTGGAAACTGAATTGATGAAACCAAACAGCATAGATTATTGGAATAGAGAGAATAGCAAAAATATAATACATATATAATACATTGGAAAACAAATTAAAAGAAATATCCTGGAATTAAAAAAATACTTCAAGTCACATTTCAACCTGAACCACACTAATCTGAAGATGCCAGAGGAAATAGTGTGGGGTCAGTCTACCAGGGTTTCAGATGGAAACATGAAAACCGAGTGTCGTGCCCACAAATACAACAGAAAATTATAAACAATGCAAAGAAATGATCTTCACAGAAAAAGAAGACCAAGCTAAATATGACAATAACATTTATATAGACAGAGACATGTATTCAGATATTAAAATTCAATGTTGTTTGTTGCGGCCATGAAGAGATCAATAATTCGATTGTTATAAATGATTTATCGCAAAAGAGTTTGTAAAGTTTCGAAGTGTTTTTGTTGCAAGTGAGGAAATCAAATGGTATACACCTCAATATGTGTGTGTGTGTGTGTGTGTGTGTGTGTGTGTGTGTGAAACACACGGTATCGAAACATGTGTGCGACGGCTGACCGACTGCGTGCAATAGAAGTAATTTTAAACAAAGAGAGAGGACTTACTTTCATCACGGCTTTGTATTTTTTTCAGTGTAGAAAAATCAACGCTGACTGACGCGTTGTTATGGTAACGTATGTCTACGCTGGTGATCGAGACAGGGCCTTATTCGTTGACTCTGCGTCGCAAATCTAGTCGCTGACTGTTCATTTTCTGTTCTTCGAGAGTTATTTTTATCACTTATGGATCGGCTCCGTATCACTATCTGAGTTTTATGCGCGAATGTATTCAGGAAAACGAGCCCTGAACTTTTTCTAGGTCATTTGGGATTCAACCACGCGGACGTCGGTGAAAGCACATCACGTGATTTGTCCTATACAAACAGGTTTCAGAAACCACTTATTTAATTTGGATCCCTGTTTGTACAGAATTGTAAAAAAGTTTTCGTATGTACTGAATTTATTTATGGGCGTCTCTTGTTTGTGCTTCAATTATTGGCCTTAAAATATAGAAGTTTATATCATATAATAGAATATACACCAGAATATATCCTAGCATTACACAATTTGTTTCTAAACGTAAACAGCAACGAATCTAGTCATGAGGAAGTCAAGAAAGCTATAAACAAAAATAAAGAATAATAAAGGATCACTTGGCTTTGAGAGCGAACTTTTGAAACTAGCATAACCTCTCCCCGAATTAAAATACGCCTGGAATCAGAAGAGCATCAAAAAGAACCCAGTTTTGGTAATACTGAGCAACTTAAAGAAATTTCA